CAGAACTGTAATGAGCCACCTGGCTCTGCCTGATGCTCTCTTGTTAGGCTTCACAGCTGTGAACTCCCACCCCTAAAGTGACCCAGCTCCACCCTACACACTTACTTGGTATCTTTATGTAAAGGAGTCTGAACCAGGACCCAGGATGCAGTCAGAAAACAGGAAGGAAACTAATTTGCATGGATAGATCCTCCCCTTCTCAGAGTATGAAGAGGACTAGGGAGAGACTTTGGTGAACCTCTGCTCAGCATCGTGAACAGAAGGCAGAACTCAGGATGACCTTCACCATGGCCTGGTCCTATCTCCTCTTCACATTCACTGTTCAGTGTACAGGTGACAAGATATAAAGGAGGAATAGGGTGTGGGATTCCTCTGATATGGACTCTGATTCTACTCTTGTTTCTAGACAAAACTTATGCTCTCCATGTTTTTCTCATTTCCAGGGTCCTGGGCCCAGTCTGTGCTGACTCAGCAGCCCTCACTGTCTGGGACTCCAGGACAGAGGGTCACCATCTCCTGCACTGGAAGCAGTAACAATATTGGGGGTGGTTATTATGTAAGCTGGTATCAGCAGTTTCCAGAAACAGCCCCCAAACTCCTCATCTATGGTAATAGTAATCGACCCTCAGGAGTCCCTGATCGCTTCTCCGGCTCCAAGTCTGGCAACTCTGCTTCACTGACAATCACTGGGCTCCAGCCTGAGGATGAGGCTGTCTATTACTGTCAGTCTTATGACAAAAGCCTCAAGGCTATCACAGTGCTTCAGGCTTATGGGGAAGTAAGACAAGAACCTCTTTACCATCTGTCAGGAGGGCAAACACCCTGGAGTTTTGTTCAAGCTTGGTCTCTGACTTTTACTGTTACCAGTACTCTAGGCCCAGATGAACCTCCTGGCACTTCATTGAGTGTCCTCTGTCCTCAGAGTCTTTCACAGCATCGTGTTCCTAGGAAAATGTCTCCACAGCAGGTAGATCAGCAAGTGTGATTTTAAGAGAGACAGATGCAAGCAGACAACTGGAAAACTGCTCACCCTAATCATCAGTGTGGGAAACAGTGTCCTAAGGAATATGAAACTCTTCTCAGACTGTCACTCTCATTAGCCACTGGAGCTTAGAAACATTCTTTTTAATTAAAAATGGATTCATTTGCAGGGTAGATTTCATGTTAGGCCACAAACACATCTTAAGACATTGAAGTGGAAGGAGTTCTTCTAATATTATTCTAAGAGGCCAGTTATTCTCTCCTTTAAGTTTCACTGACATTAATAACTCTTCTACAAACAATGTGTGCTATCATGCATGCATTATTGTCAGTCAGGAAAACTCTAAAAGATGGGAGTGGTAGTTCACACCTGTAATTCCAGCAGGTTGGGAGGCTGAGGTAAGAAGATTACAATTCAAAACCAGCCTCAACAACTTAGCAAGGATCTAAGCAACATAGCAAGACCTCTCTCTAAAAATAGTGAGGACGTAGGATGTGGCTCAGTGATTAAGACCCTCTAGGTTTAGTCTTGCCGTGACCCCTCGCCAGCAAGGAGGACACGACACAGGATTTTTCTTTCAGCAGTTTATTCAGGCCTTTACTTATGTGTCTCTGGAAGCTTCTCCTACTACTACTACTACT